ATCACTGCCTCCTGGTCATCACAAACCCCCGCAAAAGTTGACAAGGATTATTTTGGGTGGTCTAAAGCAGTGGTCCCCAACTTCCGGGTCATTTGGTACCGGGCCGCACAGAAAGAATAAATAACTTACATTACTTACGTTTTATTTATTTTACAATCTGAAATAAGTTTTATTTTGAAAAATTACTGGATTCTGTGACAATAAAAGGTAAAAAAGGTTGAGGACCGGTTCTCTGTTACATCCGTCTGCAATATGTTGACGCAGATCAAGGCGCGCTTTTCGGTCATGTGAGCCAGCAAAATGAGCAAAAAAACGTCTTTGGAAAGTTTCTTTAGGAAAGGGAAAAGGCCCAGCCAGGAGACAGAGGAGGAGCCTACGACTTTTAAGAAAAAGAAGGCTCCATTTAATAGACAGTATCAGGAGGCCTTCTTAAAATACGGATTTATCTAACTGTGAGGTTACCACGCACTAAGCCTACTCTGCTTCATGTGCAGCAATGGTGAGTCGTATTTTTCATGCACTTTTTATCTTATCTTCAAGGCCGGTCCCTGAAAATATTGTCTGTGTGACAATAAAAGGTAAAAAAGGTTGAGGACCGGTGGTCTAGAGTATTTCTGAATTAATTAAATTGTGTGCTGTTTTCCTTGTAAATATTATTTTTCAACTTACAGTCCAAAAACAAACTGTGACAAAATAAATTTCACAATGAAGGAAGCACGTTAAAAATAACGATGACGGGTGTGACATACTGATGGACTGAGCTGGCCTGACCTGGTGACAACTGACTATGACGGACTTCTAAATAAGTGAAAACTATGAAGGTGAATGAATTTAAAACCAGTGTTGCTGCCAAGGCAGAGCGACCGTTTATGCACTGTTCGTCAACTGTGTTGGATACTTTCTAGATTTCCCGGATTACTTGAGATCACATTTATGATGCTGGTAGTTTGATTTTAAATGGCGTATGAAAATAAAATGACTTAATGAGTAGCAAAATTTGATATAATCAATTTTTAAGACACATATTTCACATTTAAGGACAATATCAATATGTAAATGTCTACAATAATTATTTAATGTTTCCATTATAAAAACAGTGGGAGCCTCACTTGAGGAGAAAAGTGAAACAAGTAAATCTAAGGCTGTTACAGAAAATTTAAAAATGTGTGTTATGTTTCTGTTACCACTTGGATTTATTTACAAACAGGTTTTTTTCTCATCCTATTTTGACAGATATTTCTTAAAGCCCAAAATGTAATTCCAAAAGCCAATGCACTTAATGCACTTTATTGTCAGTGACATGACACTCATTTCATAAAAATACATTCAGATCAACAAAATTCAGCCTGGGAATATGCGTCGACGGAGGCTGTCACTTGCTGAAAAATATTCGTTGATGGGGGATGGGTAAAGGGGAGGGGGAGGCTGTCTGTGATGCGCAGGACCGGTCTGAAAATACACCGGCCATTCAGGAAAATTTATTTATTTTCCCGAAATTGAGGACCGTCACCCCGCCCCTGGATCACAATGTGATTTTGAAAAATGGACGTCCAGTGAATCTGTGAATCTCTCCTCTCACGAAAGGGTACCCCAGAATGCAACATAAATATATTTTTAAAAAAATGCAATTTGTGCATTAGCACAATTCATTTTTGTTCACTTTCCCTTAAAGCAATGGTTCCGAATCCCAACCGTTTAGGGCTTGTGTACACCCAACCTTTTTTTTTCACCAGTCATTAATATGTGTTGGTGATTCTCCAAAAGCAGAATGGGACATAAATCATTTCTTCAATGGAAATCATTTTAGTTTGTTTCCTTAATGTCTCAGAATTAAATGTTCAAATTGTCTACTTTTTAAGCCAAATTAAACATGGAACTAAATATGGAAAAACAAAAAAATACCCGCTGGTCAACTGGTTAGGACGTCGACCTCACAGTGCAGAGGTTATGTGTTCGATCCCAGCTCTGACCTTGCTTTATGGAGTTTGCATGTTCTCCCCGTGCCTGCGTGTGTTTTCTCCGGGTATTCCAGTTTCGTCCCACATTCCAGAAACATGCATGGCAGGCTGATTGAACACTCTAAATCGAAGGTGTCAAAGTCAAGGATGGGAAGCCAGATCTGGCCCGCCACATCATTTTATGTGGCCCGCGAAAGCTAATCAAGCATGTCAAGTTCCATGATGTTTGCTAAGGTCTGAACTAAAATTTCTAATTGTCATATGTAATCCACAATAACTGTCATTATTCTTGACTTCTGATTTTAAAACTAGTTATTCATCAATTTGTTGTTCGCTGTGTATGTAATATGTGGAGCAGATTAAACATTTATATGGTTTCCCAAAATTCGTAACGGGCCTCCAAGGGAAATGGGAACTAAAACGTGGCCCGTGACAAAAATGAGTTTGATACCCCTGCTCTAAAACGTGCTTAGGTGTGAGCGCGTGATCACGGTTCTGTTTGTGACCAACAGGTGGCACTGTAGGGCTGCACCTGCAGCGGCACACCTGTTGGTCGTTATGTAATTAGTTGTTTAAAAGGACTCCCAGCACGACCACTCAGTGTCGGGTCATTGTTTGTTTGTTGCTAGTGATGTGCCCCACTGTGCCGAGGCTCCGATGCGTGTGCCGAGTAAACCGGAAGAAAATCTGCGAAGCACGCATCGAGGCATGTGTCGATTACGCTTGTGGCCACGCCCGATGCCCCGGAAAGAGCGTTGCTCCGCCCAAAGCTTCGCGAGACGGGATTCCTACGTCACCGTCAACAAATAGTTTCGCGGGTGATTCGAAATAAAACGGAGCACCGGGACGACAATGAGCTGACAGGTGACACTGACTAGAGGTAAGATCGGGCTGCCCGAGCCTGCGGGTCGGGTCTGGCTTCTCTCTCGCTGACTTTTTTTTCGTTCGTTACGAGGCCGTGAATAGTTTTGGCCACGAGAGACCGTGGTTCGCCAAAAAACAGAAGTGGCCTCATCACAACACGTACTGTACTAAACTCTCGCAATTCAAAGAACTCCTTCATGTCTCTATGATCCAACCGTCATTGTTCTTCTTTGTCTCGCTGCTTCTCTTCAAGTGCCGCACTCGATTCTTAAGGACGTACTGCTGCTGTGGTGAATGGCTCAATTTTCAACCCGTCAAAATGATGGACGGCCTTAAATTTTCCCCGTCCACTCTTAAAAAAAATCCGTCAATGATGGAAAATTGTCCGCTAATGTAACCTCTTCAGGAACAGAAATATGTCATGACATTTATTTTCCACATGATGGCGCAGTAGTACAAATAAAGCCTCATGATGCTTCGGCCCAGGAACGAACCAGTTGGATGGAAAGCCTCATTGCTTCATGAGGCTTCATTTTCCCATCACTATTTGTTGCTCTCTGGTCATGTTTCGGTCATGTTTCTGTTATTGATAGTTTTTTGCTTCAGTCATGGTTTTGGTTTGCTACTTTGGATTAGTTTTGTTTTCAGGACTTTGTTTAGGATTTAGCTTTCTCTGTGTTTTTATAAATACACCTCGTCAAGTTCACCCTGCTCCTCGATCCTGCCTGCTTTTTGGGGTCCTCCACCACCACCACCACTACACAAACCGTGACACGCGGATGGTTGTTCGTCTCTGTGTGCCCTTCGATTGGCTGGCAACTGGTTCAGGGTGTCCCCCGCCTACTGCCCGAGGACAGCTGGGATAGGCTCCAGCACACCCCGCGACCCTTGTGATGATGAAGTGGATCGGAAAATGGATGGATGAAAAAAAAAGTATTTAAAACATGCAAATCATTACATACTTAATTTTGATAACATGTACCATAAAAAAACTGAGCTCCTTTGAATCTGTCCTCTTTAAATGGGTATTTAAACTTTAAATTGGCTGTTGGGATTTTGGCATCGCTGTACCACAAATTATTGATCTGGGAAATAAATTTTAAAATATTTCCACATACCCGATGCAAACTGCTCACGTACTGTGTGCATGTGGTTGGGAAAAACTGATCTCAAGAGAAAAAGATCCCTGTTTGTTTGTTGTTGGATTTGTTCCTGCTGCTGTATATTTGTTGTATATGCTTTTTTTGTGCGTGTATATTTTTTTTGTTGCACGTTGAAAAAAATATATAATCTTATCGAATTTCCATTTCTAGTCATCAACATTGTGACTAGCATCGTCTTTTCATGGATAAGAAAAAAAAAAATCAATTGTAAAAATATTGGTTCTAGCGTCGCATATAACTATGCGGCGCATTGAATAAATGCTCACAGGCAATGGAAGCATTGTTTCCCTTATCAATTGACACTGATGGAAATTTTTTTTTTAGAAATCACAAGAGTTTGTTTTAGCAGCTAGGACCTGCAATAATTACAAGCCACACAATCATCTTTCCCTCATATCACAAAAGCAAATCGAGCGCAAATTAACAATGAGTAGATCAAGATAAAAGGTTAACCAGGAATGAAAATGAGCTCGTGAGACGCCTTTGACTGCTTGACAAAGAAATGCAACAGTTCTTACCGTGTGATTACATGTTTAATTTACTTCACATCAAGAAAATTTTATGCTGTGACAGAGGCAATTTACAGTTATCCCCATGTGAGTGTCAGCCCAAACTAAAGGAAGGCTGCATTGAATCGGCTCCCTGCAGCCTCTAATGGAATCCCAATGAACATTGGAGTCGGCAGGTCCAGAAATTCTGACAGCTCCACAATTAGAGGCTACAACCTACTTGACCCATACACGCCTCACATCGGCCCATCTGTTATTACCGCTTCACTCTCCCAGGTTGACATGCTGCCAGACGTAAAGAAGGGAAACTATGTGGCAGAGAAAAAGGGAAGTTTATGCCAATGGAGACCTGTGTACTTGCAAGATCCAGTTAAGTAAAGGGTGACGTGTGAGCAGGCGGAGCAGCCAAATTGCTGGTTTCTCAATTGACAAAGCTGGACACTATGTTTAAACTGATCACTGGGTTGGCCTCGATGTTCAATTCTGAGTCCCAGTCGACAGCAAACATGGACATTGCAAGTGGTACGTGTCTCTTATACAGTGATTTGATAGTAGTTCTCTGACCCTGCTGCTGGTAAAAAAAAAACAACAACAACAACAAAAATACAACAACAACAACAAAAAAACAACAACAAACACTTGTCTTTGAAATGATCTTATTATTTAAATGCTTTGTAATTGTGTATCTATCTTAAAATGTCCTTAACACTGAAGAGCAGCGATAGAAAGTTTGAGTTTTTATTGTGAATTCATTTTTTTTCTGTCTTTCAGAACCCATCAGCAATGCTTCCTGTATTGATCCTGTTCTTGTGTGTCTCCAACATTTGGCAGAGGAGAGCCTTTTCTCCAGCATGCAAACCAACTACCAAAGCTTTCATCAAGTTAGCTCTGTATTTAAGGACGACCTAATTGTCAAGTTCTCGTCAGATTATTGACCTTGTTTGCTGCTCATGCTCAAGTGTTGTTTTCGAGACCAGCCGTCCCCAATCCCCGGTCTGCGGACTACTACTGGTCCGCGGGTCATTAGGTACCGGATCACACAGAAAGAATGAATAACTTACATTAATTTCGTTTTATTCATTTCGGAATCCAAAAGATGTTTTATTTTGAAAAATGACCCGATTCTCTATTACATCCTTATATGTCACTCTTGACGCACGTCAAGTTGAGCTTCTGACGCTTCTGACGTGATAGGTTATACTAAAACGAAATACCGGAGCTCGCAATATGAGTAAAAAACTGCTGGAGATCGCAAATGACGGCGGCCTTAAAAGTACATTCGAGACAACACCTTTGCTGGTGTTCTGGATTAAAGCCATGGCTGAATAGACTGAGATTGCCACAACAGCACTGAAAATGTGTGAAGCGAAGTTTTCTGCAGCGACGGCGACTCAAACAAAATTAGGAAGTAGACTGGACATAAGCCACACACTTTGAGTGTCATTGTCTCCTGTTACTCCGAGATGGTACCGCCTGGTTGCAGAAAAACAAGCTCAGGCGTCCCACTGATTCACCATATTTTTCATGCACTTGGAATTTGCATTGTATCTAATTGCGTTTAAATGTTACCACAGCGACCAGAGAGTGTTGCGGCCAGAGATAGCATTACTCGTGTCATGATTCGTGTTTATCATGTTTCGAAAATAGCACAGTTTTCATGCAGGTCATATATTATTTCGTTGTATTTATCCACCACACCTTAAAGGCCAGTCTGTGAAAATATTGTCTGACATTAAACCGGTCCATGGGGGGATCACTGTTCTCAACATTGTTCTAGACCTCTCGATCTCGTCATTGTCATTTTTTGTTCTCTTGTCTCTCACTTGTAGGTTTTGAGATTATTTTGTCTTTTGAGCTTGCTCTTGTTTTGTGACGTGAAATTCTCAGAGTGACTATTACCTTGCCCTTGCAAGCATTTTTTGCTTATCCATGATTTTTTTCCTGGCTCTTTGTGACCAGCAATTTCTGTTTATACTTGGTCGGTGCACTTTTGTGAATAAATCAATTTTTTTTTTTGTCACAGATTTTGTTTGTGTCTACGTTTGTAGGCTCCAATCGCCCTTCAGGTCATCCATGAACTGTGTCATTTTTGTACTGTTTAATCGCAGGCTTTACATTGTGTTCCAAAATCAGTTCTCACATATCAAAATTTTAATCTAAAGGACTAATGTACATATTCTCCCAGGGACAGTACCACTCAACAACAAAGTGTATCTGATCTTTGCCACTTTTCACCAGGAAAATAAAATGCACCTGCATTTTCAATTTTATCAGAAAAATTTAAATAACTACTTTCAAACAGCGTCTTTCTGCTCAGCAATATAGCCACATACCACTTTCCCCCCTACCACATCTTGGCAGGAGTCAGTGGAACTAGACAAAATGTGTCCATTCAAAAGCATCGTGCGTACATCACGCGCACACACACACACACACACACACACACACACACACACACACACACACACACACACACACACACACACACACACCCACACACACACACACCCATCGAACACTCGAAATTGTCCCTATGTGTGAGTGTGAGCGTGGACGGTTGTCTATGTGTGCCCTGTGATTGGCTGGCAAGCAATTCAGCGTGTACCCTGCCTACTGCCCGAAGACAGCTGGGATCGGCTACAGCACGCTTGCAACCCTCGTGAAGGTACGCAATTACAAAATGGATGGACAGATGGATGGATGGGTTGAAAGTTTGTTAGTTTTAATTAGCATTCAGGGCGGCTTAAAATATATATTTTTAAAAACCCAATATGGTAAGTATTGTGTAATATAAATTCAACAAAAAATACTTGAAAACATTTTGATGATACAGAGTACAGTTTAACAGTCCACAGACTTTGAATTACAATAATTGCAATGCCTAGCACCGCTTTTAAAGGTAGATGCATGCATGCATGCATGCACACACCCTAATTAAATTAAGCTATGATGCCTCATTTGCCAAGTTACCAACTTCTAAAGTGGATTTGTGATTTGAATTCCTGTTGAGTCTTAAACGTGGGTGTCCTATTTTTTAATATACTGTGGGTTTTTTTTTTCATGTAAGACCCAAAAAAAGGAGAGCACTTTTCATCTAGCATTGTGTTTCAAGCTGAGTTAAAGGTAAATAAGAAAAGGTGGGAAGCCATTCGAGCCAAAATCATACACAAACTCGTCTCCTGGGAGCAGCGTCACTTGATGGCTGTTTTTAATTGGCTGCTGCTTGAGAACGTACAGTTTCAATTAGTTTTGGTTTTTTTTTAAAGCATTTTAATTTTTATTTTGTTTAGTGAAATTTGTTCAATGAAGTTTTGTTATTTCATTAATTTTCGTTAACTAAAATAACTTTCTCTACAGATTTTCTGTCAGAATGCCATGAATTTGATTTAGTGGGCCACATAAAATGACATGGTGGCCTGGATCCGGCCCTCGGGCCTGGAATTTCACACCCAGGATTAAAAAATTATTCATATTCTAACTAACCACTGGGAGGATCCGTCTAAGACCAAATCAGCTGCAAGAAACAGACTTCTGAGGTCATTGAGTTGTTGTGACTTCCCCTTTGATCACTCCTCTGTTGTGCCGCTGTTTTCAGATGACCTGGTGACGTCCAAGTCCAGTTTGTTTTTTCTGATCTCCAGCGAGGGTAACCAGAACCTAGATGTGACACAGGCCACTCTCTGGCTCTACTTCAAGTTACTGCCTCCACCTGTTGAGATGCGGTCTCGGCGGAAAGTGACGGTGAAAGTATACTACCAGGAACCGGGCCTGAGCAGCAAGTGGAACCTGGTAGAGAAGTGCTTGGAGCTGAAACGGAGCGGGTGGCACACCTTTACGCTGACCCATGCCGTGCGCTTGGTATTTGAGCAGGGCAACCGGCGGCAGAACCTGGACGTGCGCTGCGATGGATGCGAGGCGACGGGTGTCGCGCCCGTCCTTCTCAACCGCAACGACGAGTCGCACCGGCCTTTTCTGGTTGTGCAGGCGCGTCAGGTGGATGCCAAGCATCGGATCCGGAAGCGAGGACTGGAATGTGACGGCAGCGCTAGTCTGTGCTGCCGCCAGCAGTTCTACATCGACTTCCGACTAATAGGCTGGAACGACTGGATCATCGCGCCATCCGGCTACTTCGGGAACTACTGTGAAGGGAAGTGTCCCGCTTACATGGCAGGAGTACCCAGCTCGGCGTCGTCCTTCCACACGGCAGTGGTGAACCAGTACCGCATGCGGGGTATGAGCCCGGGCTCCATGAACTCCTGTTGCATCCCGACCAGGCTGAGCACCATGTCCATGCTTTACTTTGATGATGAGTACAACATTGTGAAACGAGATGTTCCCAACATGATTGTGGAGGAGTGCGGCTGCGCTTGAGTTCCTCTCGATGCGTCTGTGTCCTCACACAGTCAGAAACAGGTGGACCGTGTGGAGAAGTGTACACTCTCACGTGCACTTGCGTATAAGCTTGTACATATATTTATGTTGGTTAATACACAGTGGTACCTTGACTTACAAGTACCCCAAAAAATAAAAAATGAAAACGCTCACGATGAGCATGCAGTGGCAGGTTTCGAACACTTTTGGGGGCTGGGGGTGGGGGGATGTGTCTAAAGGGCACAGTTTTAAACACCCAAACACAACCTATTGCCTAAATTGCCTCACTGTTCTTATTTATTCGTGATATTTATCAATTGTGTTAATTTAAAGCCACTCTATGCCATTGGAGTATATTAAATCAGCATGCGTGATACATTACAAATCAGTATCCATGGGAATATGGGGAAAAAAATTATATCGTGTGTGTGTGTATATATATATATATATACATATATATACATATATATATAAAACATCCATAAAACGCGATCAAATGGCACCAAAATTCATGTGGACATCTCTACTTGTGCCCACTTCAAAATATCACAATAGAATGAGGAAATGAGCATCAGACCTGAAATTTCTCTTTTCTTCGTTTTAACAATAATTATACGTTAGTTTTATACTGTGCCCTTCAACACCAAGTGGTGTTTTTACGTCAAAAAGAGAAGAAGAAAAAAATCATACAGCTACTCTGTGCTTAAAGTGGGGGAAAAACATCAGTGACAGTGCTCTCCTTATTCCTCTGTTGGCAAGTAAGTAGCGAGAGATAGAGTAAGAGAGAGAGAGATATCAAAATGAGTGGCTTGCTTTGCTGTTTGTGACATAATTTGTGTATGTTGCCCCTTAAACAGCGCCATTCAAACGCGAAACTGCAAAGGGGTGGCGTTTACGTCTCAACTCAACTCGACTGTATTTATAGAGCACTTTCAAACAGCCATCTCTGCATACAAAGTGCTGTACATGGAGCAACTAACATATACAACAGTAAAGCAACGAATCCATAACAAAGACGGTAGAAAGCACCGAACAGCAAAACCAAGAACAAATCATGAGTCATGATGAATCAAATGCCAAGGAATACAAGTGAGTTTTGAAGCGGGTTTTAAAGATGGGCAGCGAGGAGCCTTGCCGAATGTTCAGTGGGAGCTCATTCCAGAGAGAGGGACCAGCAACAGAAAAGGCTCGATCCCCTCTGAGCCTCAGTTTAGTTCTTGGTACTTCTAATAATGTCTGGTCCGCAGACCTGAGGCGCCGGGCAGGTGTGCAGGGGTGGATGAGCTCAGAGAGGGAAGGTGGCGCGAGGTCATTTCGAGATTTGAAAACAAATAATAGGATCTTGAAAAGAACTCTCAAGTGTATAGGGAGCCAGTGAAGGGATGCCAGAGTAGGAGTTATGTGCTGCCTCTTACGAGTACCAGTCAAGAGGCGAGCAGCAGCGTTCTGGACCAGCTGGAGGCGCTTAATGGAGGATTGGCTGCCTCCATGTTTATTTATTTTATTATTATATATTTGTTTATGTGACAAAATACAGAGCTGCCAAATGTTACAGAATAAGTGATTGAACGCTAACGTGTTACACCCGTCACACATTGAGATTATGCGAATATTCAAGTCATCATCTGAGTCGCCGTTGCCCGTTGCTGTTGAGGGCTTATCCATCCATCTCTCTCTCTCTCTCTCTCTCTCTCTCTCTCTCTCTTTCTCTCTCTCTCTCTCTCTATATATATATATAATTGCTCTGACGACCGACACTCCTTCTCTGTGTGTGTGTGTGTGTGTGTGTGTGTGTGTGAGAAGAAGGGAAAGAGGTGATGAAGGCATTTTACACAGTCATTTTCAAGTGCCCACTTTATTTTCATCAAAAAAAAAAAATTCTCTGGTGATTTTTTTAATAATTCTAAGTTAAGTGAAGGACTCCACTGTGTGAACCCTTGCTCAGTGGTCTCTCTGCCTACTGACTGGAGGAGGGTTTGAATGCAGTATTCACATGTCATTCAAACACCAGAGATGAAAGTCCTCCGTATTTTCCCGGAATTCCGGGTTTTTCAAATTTTTATGAAGATTTCTCCGGAGAATTGAGGAAAATTTGCATAATCCGGATATTAGTTGACAACATTGA